TTACCCCCGGTGTTCACAGGCATGTGCAGGTTACCATCTAAACAACTGTTTAATCATCAGATGGGGACGCAAAGAGTTTCCAGAACATGAGACATATTTACAATACCAAAAGTGTGTAACAAGATAATTTTTAAGTAATAATATATTTGTCAAAACAGTCCAGTTAAAGCTACCGTGTAAGAAGTTTCACTTATCTGAGCTGGCTCCCACCACAGATATAGATCTAAACTATCTGTCTGAGTGTCCCTGTCTCTGTAACTGCTGCAATATATTATCAGGACTTGACATGAATGCCAATTCAAAACACAGCCAAAAAAAAAAAAAAGAAGGAAAGGAGCTGCATGCAATGGTGAACTATGGGCAGAGTATAAAGGATTTAAAGGCAGAGTGATGTAACTCTGCCTAAAATCCCTAGCTACTGCTTTTGTGAGCTGATTTTGCTTATGTGTATCATCTTATGGTACTTTAATGAGTTAATATCCCTACAATGGCTTGATTTAAACTAAGCGAGAGTGAGCAGATAGGTGAGTGGCACATCACAAGGTATTGCAAAAGTGAAGGGGATAAATATCCCTGTAAAAATCCCCTACGTTTTGCAAACTGCATAATTTGCAATGGCCCATAGCTCTCCTACGTACAAGTTAGACGTAAACAACAGATGGTGTAAAATTGAGCAAGGCAAATGTCTGAGCTTTTGTTATTGATACCTCTTCCTGTTAGAGAGAATGAGTGTGTAATTCTTTTACAGGACAGTATGTAAGTGCTGAAAAAAGCACACATATGTTTGTGCTTGTGGTTTTTCTGTGCTTTTTCATTTACTATTGCTATTTTCTCCTGCTGTGAAGTCATTTATACTTTGGCATCTGCTCTGAACCTAAGTTAAATTAAGTTTTCAGTAGTAAATGTAGGTAGATTTTATCATACAGTTCTAATAAAAGAAGTGCCGTGCCATTCTTTTCAGTTCAGTAAACTCTTTCCAGGAATATTAGATTTAAGTACATTGTGGGATACTGACAATCTCAAAGAAGATAACTTAAATCATAAAGGGGCTGATCCTGCAGAACCACCCATGAGTCCCATAAGGTGTTTGGATACCAAGGTAAGAAGCATGGCATATAAGTCTAGCTGGCTAATTTCATGGAAATGAAACAGGACCAAGTTCCTTAATGATTATTTTCTTTATTTAAAAAAAAATGCTTGAATTCTTTTAAATTTTGTATCTTAAATTACTATTACCCAGCAACATTCAGTCTCCTAACTGGAATCTCTATAACAATCTTAAGGGAGTAGTTACTAATAAGAAACAGGTACCAGTGTCTCAGACCAGTACTTGCACATTATCAGGTATACATGTACAATCCTGACTTGAATCCTGAGTCTTCTTCCTGAACGTACAGCTGCCATGGGCAATCTCCCAGGTACTTGGACAAATCCTTTAAAAGTGTTTTGTTACCTTTTATTATTAATTGTTATTTGTATTATGGCGGCCATTCTTAGATACCAGTCAAGATCAGAGCTCCACTGTGCTAAGGCACGGTACAAACATGGAATGATCCGTTATTTTATTTATAAAATCTAAACTTGGGTCCTAAACTACCTGACACTGACCTTTTAATAATCCTTTCTGACTATCTTTCAGTAATTATCTTTTTCCTAATTGCACCTGTATACTTAGTGTGGGGGGGGGAAACTTATTTGCAACATTGATGCATAGATACATAGATGTATAGATCATTAAAAATGCATTCAAATAATGTTTAGAAAGACCAGGGCCAAACATGCTGGGCAAATTATGCATTTATTAATTAACAGTACAAGAAAACTAAATCACAGCTGGATCAGTGCAAACAGGATGGAGAGCTGCCCTGACAGGATATCAATGGATTCCCTGGGTCGCATAAAGTTGGTGTAACTTCCTTGATGTGGGGGATCAGGGATGTGACAGAAAGCAGGAGGGGATGAGTTTGGGGCACACGAGGCTCCAGTAATCTCTTGTCAGTGCAGCAATCCTCCGAGGGAGCATTCTTGCCAACACAGTGCACAGCAGGCCTTAGCTTGGTCTCCAGTCCGTACTGGGATCAGGGGAACAGAAAGGCAGCTTGTCTTTCTCGGTCCTTTCTGGTTCCTACATTGAGCATATTTCATCTGGCCCCAGAGATCTGGCCCAATCTATTTAACCAAGAAAAGAGCTGTGACTTCGAGTCAAGCAAAAGAAACACTTATGTAGCTAACAGAATGTCCAAAGGAGATTCCCCAAAAGGGACTCGTTCTGCCAGATTTTTTATCAGTTCTCACATTTTCAGCAGAGTGACTGACAATGTTCTTTTCTCAACATTTATTCTTTACGTATGAAGATCCAACTCCTGCCATTCTTACTCCTCGTTTTGGCAGGATTTGATCCTAAAAGCAAATCTGATTTTAAAAGCATAGAGCATTGTAACATATGGAACTGAATACCTAATCATCTCACACTTTTGCACTGGATGCATCATGTACAATGCACTGGCTCCTTCACTACCTGTGTGTCTGGTATAAGAAAAAGCACATTGTGGAGTGCAGAAAGAAAAGGAGGACTTGTGGCACCTTAGAGACTAACCAATTTATTTGAGCATGAGCTTTCGTGAGCTACAGCTCACTTCATCGGATGCATACCGTGGAAACTGCAGCAGACTTTATATATACACAGAGAATATGAAACAATACCTCCTCCCACCCCACTGTCCTGCTGGTAATAGCTTATCTAAAGTGATCATCAGGTGGGCCATGCGCAAATAAATTGGTTCGTCTCTGAGGTGCCACAAGTACTCCTTTTCTTTTTGCGAATACAGACTAACACGGCTGTTACTCTGAAACCTGTCAAATTAGTAAGTGTTGCAGCAGCTAGGCCCTTTGTTTAAAAGCCTACCGTTGAAACAGTCTCCTGAGAAACACATTTAGTTTTCCTGAGGGCATCAGGAGGCATCAGGCATACAACCTGACTCCAGCATACTTCAGCACTACACAAATAACTTAAAGATACTCAATGAAACCATAAGACAACACTGAGCAGACACAATTCCAGTTTGTTTCAGGAATTAAATGTGTCTTAAGATATGTCGACACTTCAATAAAAGACCTGGGGCTGGCCTGTGTCAGCTGACTCAGGTTCAGCGAGTCTATAAACAGCACTGCACACATTCGGACTAGGGCTGAAGCTGGGCTCTGGGACTCCTTGTAGGGGGAAGGTCCCAGAACCAAGGCTCCAGCCTGAGCCCAAACATCTACACTGCAGTTTCGAAGCCCCACAGCCCAAGCCCTGTGAGCTCAAGTCAGTTGACCTGGGCCAGCTGTGGCTCTGCTGCAGATCTTGTATCAAGCACACACCCTTAAAGAGAAAACTTGGGGGCCCTATTTCCCTAGAACAGCTGTTACTTCAGCGATTTGTGACTGTAATGCCTCCATCCTTTGGATAGTTAAATTCTAGCCCATAAGGCATAATATTAATACTTGCATTTCTATAAAACCTTTCATCCAAGGATCACAAATCAATTCACAAACCTCACTGAGTTTGATTCCCTAATCTGTAAGGTAGGTCAATATTATCATCTCCATTGATCTTGCATTGGTGGGTGAAATAATTTGCCCACAGTCACAGCAAGGCAAGTCCAAAACACAAGAAAAGTAAGTGGATTCTTGCATTCCTGCACTCCCATGAAAGTTTCACAACTCACCACCCATCATAATCTACCTCTGGCAAATGTGTGTGTGTGATAAGTGCAGATGTGTGTTGAGGTGTATAGTAGACAGCATCTCAGTGCCTGATTTCCCAATCTGGCAGCACAGACAGAAGAAATGTATTTCAGGGACTGATTTATCCCCATCCACCTCCTGTCCTCCACACCCCACATGCACACTCACATAACCATGGCACTTTGAGGACCTGCCAGTCATAAATCTAGCTCTGCGTAATACAGTGATAAGTCAGTGGTAGAACCCAGGAATCCTGACTCTCAGTTCCTGTTCTCACCACCAAACAGGACTTTTACATTGATTGCATCCCTGACCAAAGGGTCTCTAACAGTGAATTATGTGTGAAACACCTCTTGGCAGTGGGACAGTGCTCCAGTGAACCAGTTAGTCTGTATGGAATTAGAATTCCACAGTTCTGTGTGTCACAGGACCTACACTCCTAATTGCTACCGGGATTCTTTTTGAGCTCAAAGGGCAGGGGCCTGTGTTTTGGAGCAAGAGGACCGGAATCCTGTCCCTGCTGCCAGCACAAAGTTCTGCGTGGCCAGGACATGCCGTTTAGGGTATGTCTACACTGCAGGTAGGGGTGTAATTTCTGGCTTGAGTAGACAGACCTACACTACTTTCGTCAAGCTAGCACTGTACCAATACTGGTGTGAATACACAGGCGGCAGCAGCAGCAGCTAGCCGCCCTAGTGCATACCCCAGGGGTTGGCAGTTCAGTGCCCCAGCCGAACTGCTATTTCCAGCATGCTAGCTCCATGCCAGTGAGCAGGGGTCTGACTCCCCCCAGATGGAAATACACCTTCCGCCGCAGGGCGGAGGTACCCCTCGGGACAGCTGTGAACTCCTAGCAGGCTATGGGTTTATTTCAGGATTAGCATCCCTGTTTTACGGATGGGGGGGGGACCGAGAAGCACAGAAAAGGGAAGGCCCCAGCCCCAGAACTCCCCATGCGGGCTGGCACAGAGCATTGACAAGAGCCATCCCTGGGTGACTCCCCGCAGACAAAATACCCAGTGACACTGGGAGCAGAGCCCGATCCCTGCTCCCCAGCTGCCTGCTCTGACCACTAGATCCCTCTGCCTTCCTAGAGCCCCAGCCCAGGCGCCCCCTGCCCTCACCATCAGCCCAGGCTCCCTCCATCCAATGGAGGCAGCCTGTGGCTAGTACCGCGGAGCGGAGGGGAGCTTGGGAGAGCTGCTATTCCACACAGTACGGTAGGGGTGAGCTCCGCCCCGGTTTACCCTCTCCTCCCCCGGCCCCGGAGCAGCCAGCGCGGCGCAGCAATGCGAGCCGGGCAGGCGCCCCGCGCACGGTGCCTTGGGCTGCGCCCAGCCGGCCCCAGGGCGTCCAGTCCGGCTCCCGCTGGCCAGCGCGCGGGATGAGGAGCCCGTGCGAGGCGTTCCCCGGGGACTGAGCCTCCCTCCCGCTGCACCATGAAACTCTACTGCAAGGTGGTGGCCATCCTGCTGTGCCTGGGGATCCTGCTGCTGCTCTATCTCTTCGTGGGCAACGCGGATGAGCCGCCGCTGCAAGGGGCCAGAGAAACCCGCTTGCCGCTGCTGCCCGTTTCCCCCGGACCGGGGGGCCGCGCCCACCCACTCTTTGCACATTTCCAGCCCGTGCAGGCGGCGGCGGCAGCTCAGATTTCCAAGCGGGAGCCACGTCTCAGCAAAAACCCCGGCAAGCGGAGTCCGGCGCGAGGGAAGTTTGCAAACGTTCGGTAAATGCGGCTGCTTTTGTTTTATTTTTTTTTTCCGGGGCTTGGCTGCAACAATAGAGGATTGGGGGCGGCGGGAGGGAGGGAAATTTCCGGGGTAAGTTTGCAGGGAGGGTTGGTCCGGGATCTAGAGATCCCGATTCCGCTGCTCGGACGGCAGCGGTTTGGATCAGAGCTTCCTTGGTTGGAAGCGGGATCCTTCCTCGACAATATCTTGGCATGGAGCAGCAGCCCCTGTAATGCGTTTTGTGGAATGTGTGGTGCCCCGGGTCAGTTTCAGCGTTGGACTCCTCGCGGGTCGAGTCGTGGCAAAACTGCACCAGAATGCACTTTCCTGGGGAAGAACTTTCTATGTCCTTTCACTAACTTGAACCCCTCTGGTTTGAGTCGCACACTGACCTTTTCCTTTGCTTTTTAATTCCTGCTCAAATAGCCCAGTTTTTTTTTTCACTCTTGAGTTTGGCAAATACATCACGCGCTCTCCCTCTTTAGGTTGCAAGGCCACGGATTAGTTGCACTGCACACAATAACTGGAAGCGTATAAACTGCTTCTCCTGTCTCCTAATCGACTTTTCCTTGAAACATCGGTGTCTGAGACCCCATGGAAATGTTTGGAAGTGCCATGCAGAGGTTCTGTTTTTAACCTGTAGAAAAGAATTCCCATTTCTGTACAGGTAACAGACGTGTGTGGCTCACCTTTGTGAGAAAGCAGCCTTCATAAGCAAAACCATTCTGACTGGTTTGGGGGTTCTTTGGAAGTATAAAGCTGATTTAAAAAAAAAAAAGTGTAATTTGGTAGTGATAGATTACAAATAGGTGAGAAATTTCTGTCAACTGCAATGGCTAAACTTGTGCTCATTTTGTATTGAAAGTGAGTGAAAACAAAATGAAATCAGATGAAAGGTGAATAGCTATTTGTGTATGGCATTAATAACATTCTAATATATTTTATATAATGAGTTGGCATTAAACAGTTAAGAGAACAATGAATACTTCTTGTTTTACCATTGTTTTTTATATATGAGTGCTGTTAAGAAAACTTTGCTAAATGATGTTTGATTTAATGTGAGCTAGCTTTTAAAATATTTTGCAACTAGAATATTTTTTTAAAAAGTTACTGTGATTATGAATCAGAAAAGTACAAATATTTGCACTGTTTTTTTTTTTCTGTGGGTAGACGACTCTTTTTCTCCTCTGCATTTTAGCTGTATTATGGTGAATGTGACTGAACTATCAAATGAACTTTGTATGTCTTTGATTCATGATTTCACAGAGATGCTCAAATAAATTGGTTAGTCTCTAAGGTGCCACAAGTACTCCTTTTCCTTTTGCTGACTGAAAGACTGTCCCGTTTTATAAGATCTTATTCTTTAAGTTATTAAAGCAGTTGGTTTCTTACAAGCATTGTATCTATATTGAGCGCAAGTGATGTTTACTGTGACTGGCAATGGATCATGAACAGAATTCAAATTGATGTATTAAAGCTGGATTATTTACATTAGCAACTGTACCTCCTGAAGTCATTTTTCTTTGGAGCATATCTCTTAGATTATCATGGAAATCATGGACAATAGTAAAAGAATGAAGAGCGAAAGTAGCAAAATCTTCTGAAGAGGGTAAACAACCCTCCCATTTCAATGAATAAGAATCATCTTATGTTCTGAAAATTTGACATTATCTGGGTTTTGCTTGTTTATTGCATTTTCAAGTACGTTTTACAAGGTCTGCACAAGGAAACCTTGTTAATCAGGAGCACTCCCCCCCCCCCCCAAAAAGAAAAAGTAAAGAAGCTGCATTTAAACACTGCATTTTCTTCTGCTTTCATTAAATTTCTGTGCTCTTAGGGCGTGATCCTGTACCACTGAGGTTAATGGGAGTTAGGTCACTGATTTCACTGGGAGCAGGAGCAGATAGTTAGGGTCCAATTCTGATACCCTTGCTGATCAGTTCTTTATTGCACTAGCCATTCCATTGTTTTTTCTGGGACTACTGCCAGAGAGTATTACTCTCAGTTCAAGTCAGGGTATAATTTGCAAAGCATGTAAAAGTTATGTCATGGCTAGAAAAAAAATTCTTATTTCTCTAAATAGTTAGAAGACCAGTGACAGACCCAGGTTTAGGCTAGACCAGCAGTTCTCAAATTGTGAGTCAGGACCCCAAAGTGGGTCAGGACCTTCTTTTAAGGGGTCGCCAGGGCTGGCTTAGACTTGCTGGGGCCTGGGACCGAAGCCTGAGCCCCACTATGTAGGGCAGAAACTGAAACCTGAGGGCTTCAGCCCTGGGCAACGGGACTCAGGTTACAGGCCCCCTTCCTGGGGCTGAAGCTCTTGGGCTTTGACGCCCCCCACCCTGCCCCGCCCCCGGTGGTGGGGCTTGGGCTTTGGCTTTGGACCTCCCCAGAGCGATGGGGCTTTGGCGGGCTCAGGCTTCGGTCATGTAATAATTTGTGTTGTCAGAAGGGGGTTGTGGTGCAATGAAGGTTTAGAACCCCTGGGCTACACCTCTCTCTCACTAGCCTGCTGAGATGATCTGCTTGGTTTCTAGGGATCTAATTCAAATCTCATTGAAGTCAACAGAAAGTCTCTAATTTCGAAGGGCTGGAATCAGGCTCTGGAGAAATAGGCCCTGATTCGGTAAGTTTGTTATGCCTCTGTCTTAACTTTAGGCATGTGAGTAGTCCCATGCATTTAGCTGGGGCTTACATATGCTTACAGTTAGACGCAAGTTTATGTAACTTGATGAATCAGGGCCTTAGGCCATTTGGTCCCTGCCATACTCTACACAGGCAAAAAAGGTGGTTTTATTTTTTCACCTGAGTTAAGCTAATTGATTAAAACCCCAGTCCCATAATTCCTTTAACGTACCTGTAGTGAGGACATCATTTCACACCTTTAAAATCATTTGACCTGGAAGTATGTAGGCTGCAACACGACCAGACTTTCTAGGTATGCTCAAATGATCTTAAAGAATGAAACTTTGTCTACATGGGCATTGAGGGGGAATTAATTGACTTAACTCAGTTGAGTTAGCGTAGCTTGATTGGGAAAAATGCACCCTTTTTTGGCTCATGTAGACAGGGCATTACAGTGTGTCAATGATAGAAAAAAGCATGGTTTTAAAATGTAATAGCTAACACGTTTTAAAATCTTAGTGTAGACAGAGTAAATGGTAAACTTAATGTGTTAGCTACTACCACTTGCTCCGTCTACATTAGAAGATTAAAATGTGTTAGCTGTTGAGTTTTAAAAACATACCATTTTTCCTAGTATGGACAGGGTTTTAGAAGGTGAGGCCTTCACTGAGCCCATATTTTCACCTGCTGAAGTTCCAAGGACAGAACTGAACATCCTCACTTGTTCTATTTTGGTTAATTATGGTTTTTGGATTATTTTTTGTAGGTGTCTCTTAAAGCTCAGCATTGTTTGCAAAGTTCTGTTGTGCTTTTAAAGTTGTTCTCTATTTCAGCAGTTGGCTAAGAGCCTGATCTTGTGAATCCTTACACTTGTGAGTAATGAGTCCCATAACTTTCAGTGGGATTACTGATCTAAATGAGGGTTAGCAGGTTCTGGCCCCAAGTATGCAAAAGGTTGTCTCACCTCTAAGGGGATAAAAACAAACAAACAAACTAGGATCTATGGTTAGTTAAGGTGGCAAGACTTGGGAAGTGGAACTGCAAAGTCTTAAAAAGATACTTGCCAACATGTTTAGGCCTCCCAAAAGTGTTTCCTTTAAAGAAAGGTGTGATCTAGTAAGATGCTCTTTCTTTGTATAGTATAATACTATTCCTTTTTAAAACGAACTTTGATTGGATCTTCATCAACCCAAAACAGCAAAAGTTTTAAAAAATCCCAAAAACTTGTGAGAATTTTTTTTTTTTTTTACTGTTTTTCCCCATTACCAAATTTAGAAAAACGTTAAAATTTCAACAAAACTTTTTGATTAAAAAATTTCAGTCACATCTAATGTATAGCTGGTTGGCAAAAATGATCATATTTTTAATTTTGAAAATTTTGGGCATCTCTAGTATATATATTTTTTTTAAGTGTCACTGAATGTGTTTTTATTTCATCTATCCCTATACCACAACCATTATTTCAGTGCTGACTCCCAGGAAAGAAGCTTATTTAATGAATCACCAGTCCCTGTAAGGTTTTCCTTTTTGGATCAACTCTCCAAGTATTGCCTAAATGTAACCGTGTTTATATTGTGAGATATGATGAGATCATAACATGAGACTTTTTTAAAGTATTAAATTGCATCCTATAGGGATGCTGCGTGGAATTTACCTTCCTCTAAGAAAATTTGCAGGCTTGAATAGATTAGCAGGTTGTGTAAGGAGGCAAGGATGTGTTGTCTTGTATGGATCTGGATTGGTTCTGGATAGGTGGTGGTCTGATTATGGTAAAGCCTCTGGCTGTGACAAATGAGAAAATTAGATTTAATCTAAACCCATGGAGAGGAAAGTGTACTGTTGTTCTTGGGATCTCAGTTTCTTGCCACTATCTCTGTTCCACCCAAGGAAACCATGAATACAAACAGTGTTAAAGCCAACAGTTAAGCAACTGTGTAGAGTTTGGTGATGCTGTATCCTTGAGGGGCCTAATGCTGACAGCATTATTATACCCTATTGTGTGCTAACAGAGCTGGCTTAAACTTTTCTATGACAGATGCTAAATGTTTATGATATGCTTTGCAAGTGCTTGTCAGGGCTTTATGTAGTGCTTAATGTTAAAGCTGTCTGTACTTGGACTAGTATGTAATGAGGCTGCTGATGGCATATTAGAATCTGTCTTACATGGATACTGTAGGGAAGTCTCTGTTCTGAATTAATCCTATCTGTCTGTTTCTTTTCTCCTGTCTTTCCTCTTGCTCCTTGCTCTGCCTAAATACACCTGCCCAAACTAGGTTTATTTATTGGGCTTAGTAAAAGGAGCTCAAGATAGCAGAAAGCTCCCATTTTATGTAATCACTTTGGTTGACTGTTTTAAAACCCATCAAATGTCATCTACTTTAGACTAATATTTTAAAGTGAAGTATTCCAATCATTTAAGAATGGAAAGAAAATTATAAAATCCACGTGTGTAACAATCATTAAAAACAAGTAACTACTTCAGTGACCAATCAATCAGATTATAAATGAATGAACACAAATATGCAAACAGAGTAAGGGTTTGCTAATAATAATCTAGTGCTTTGTAGCATCAGAGTGTTTTGCAAATGCTAATTAATCTCCTTGAGACTCCTGTGGTAGCTATTATAATCCCCATTTTACAGATGAGGAAACAAAGTCATCAAGACTTGATGAAAGCCTCATAGGGACAGTATCAAAGATGGAATTCTTGGTTCCCCATCCATTTCAGATCATAACTATTAGTTATGCCTCTCCATAATGAAAATATTTTAATATCTTAAACTGATGACTTCATCGGATCAGTATTTGTTTCTTTGGCTTTACCAATTGCTTATGTCTCACTTAAACAAATCCTAGAGCCTTTATGAAGGTCACCACAGCATTTAACAAATATGCGTTTTTTTGTTAAAGCATTTTTTTTTCAGGCATTTAATTTGCATCAGTCGTCTTATTGACTGATGTAGCAGTTTCCAGCCAGACAAAGTGTCGGAAAACTGTCTGCTTCCAAATGTAGTTGTGCCAATTAATGGTTAAATACTAACCAATTAGAGAAGGCTTTATATAATAGCTGGATTCACTGAGTATGGTCCCTGTACAAGACTTCGGCCCAGATTCAAAGTAGACCCCTCTTGTCCCAAAATAACAACTCTGTTAAGTGAGCTAACAGTGTATCTTTCTTCCTCCTTTTTGGAAGCTCAGTGTGTAACACTATCTAAGTGTGTTCTACACAGAGGATAAGATCCTACTGCTGCTACCAGCTAATGAATTTTCTTCTTTAGCTTAAGTGGTAGAGACCTGTGCGCTTTGTGCTGAATGTTCTGTGCCAGATCCTTAGCCGAGGTAAATGGCTGTACCTGCATTGAAGTTAATGAAGTTGCATCAGTTTACCCACGTTGAGGATCTGGCTCTGTATCTCTCTTCACAGCCCATGGTGACCTGTAAGAGCTGATCCGGTCTACCACTTGCTAACCTTATACTCAAGCAACAGTAACCATTTAGTGTGATCCCCTATCTAGACAAGGGACTTGTGGTATGCACACATGCTGTACGTTACTTCTGCCCAGACTGAAACTAAGGGTATATCTATATTACAAGCGCTGCAGTAGCTAATCTGTGGTGCTGTACTGTAGACAGTTTCTCCAGTGACGGAAGAGTTTTTTTCCATAACTCTAGTAAATCCACCCACTGGAGAGGTGATAGCTGGGCTAATGGAATAATTCTCCCATCGACCAAGCTGCATTGACAGCAGAGGTTAAGTCGACTTAACTACATCACACAGGGTATCAAATTTTTCACTGTGCTGAGTGATGTAGCGACGTTTTAAGTGTAGATCAGGCCTGAAGACAGCAGCTGTACTAGGTGGACCAAAAGGGAACCTCCTTTGGGCTGAACCCATTGAGTCTGTGTTCAGCATGCCTTGGCTGGAAGACCCTTTTTACGTAGCTTGGGAGGTTGCCCTTTGAGTTCACTCTCTGCATGTGTGGCCGAGAATTGATAGTGGTTAAAAATGCGCACAACAGCGCTTTGGGCTTTGGCACGGGCACCTGAAATGTCCTAATATGAGGTTAGAGCTTTGTCCTGCTCCCATTGAAGTCTGTGGCCATAAGCTATATCAAAGTAATTCACATTTATATTCTACATATGGCTTGATTTAGAGACTCAATTAAGCGGAAACATTAAAGAGATGGTTAGAAGGAGGGAGCGGGAAACAGGATCTGTATGAGGAGCCAATTATTCATTTTAATAATTCAGTGGTTTTTACACTGATAGTCTGGAAAGTAAATACCACTTCACATAAACGTAGTGTTTCATTATTTATACACTGTTGAAATTGAGGTTTAATTATGACTAAAGACCAAGACTTTTAAACCATTAGTGAAACATGTTGCTTTGTGCGGTCTGTAAAGTACTGGGGGCTTAAAGCATAAGCAGATTATTCTGCAGTACAGGACGACAGCTATCATGCTGAGGTCATTATGAACATTGTTAGTTTCTGGAAAGAGACATCCCGAGTTTTATTAATTAATTGCCATTTTCTCTTTGTAATTTCTTTAGGCCTTTTGTTTTGTTGGTAATACTAGCTGTACTGATTGATTTTGTGCATGTCAGTTTGTGTATACTGAGCTGGGACCAGGCTAGGATTTATTTCCTCACTTCAGCGATATATCACCTTTATCCTTTTGAACAACCCAGTGATAACTGTGATGCTTGTGATTTACTTATTTTTTCTATGCATCTGGATAGCAGCATGTTTAATGTGGTTCAGATCGGCATGCAAATAGGACAAACCAAGAGAAAATCATTCTAGGAATGACTTTATTTCTATACCAATAAATGAAAATACAAAGGCCAAAGTTTTCAAAAGTGACTACTGATTCTTCGTTCCCAATTTGAGATGCCTTAAAAGCCCTATATGAGAGCTAGGTATCCTTATTTGTTATAAAGGGGCCTGATTTTCAGAAAGTGCTGGGCAGTCAATCTGTAAATATCAGGCCCCTTGAAACTGTCTCAGGTTTAGCACGCAGAAAATTGAAGCACCTGAAATCACTAGTCACTTTTTAAATTGATGCAATGGGCCAATCCCTTTTCTCAGTGGAATTCATGACCCAAGATACAATGGGAACAGGATGAGGCACAGTAGGATGAGTATAAAGGGCCTCTGAAAATGCCTTTTACACATCAGTTTTGGATATGTATGTTCGCCTTTTATATACTGGTCAAGCATTCTAAAACTTAAAAAAAAATTCAGATGGGAGACGTGCTCTACTCAAACGGACATAATGGGCTTGATGCAGAAGGTCAGACTAGATGATGATAATGGTCCCTTTTGTCTTTAAAATCACTGAATCTAGAATAAAAACCTCACTCACTCTTCAAAAGCCAAACAATGACTTTCTGTGCTGTTAATTCAGTGTAACTTGCGTGGTACAGATGTATGCGGACAGGAAGAACTATCAAACCTGTTCTAGTTAAAGATACAGAAAATAACTAGCCTATTTCTTTATGTTCTCATGATCACATTCTTGATTGGACCCAGTGACTCACATTCTACATCCTGTTAACAAGCTCCACTCTAACGAATTCACCATTTTTTTTTTTAAATAGATGTAATGCTCTTTTAATGTAGATGCCCAAAAAAACTCCTCCACCCCCACTCACTTCAATTGCATGTTTTTTATTTATATTTATTTTTTAGAAGACCTGGGGAACAGAAACACTTGAAAGAACTTCCATCTCTGCAATGGATGCACCTGGCAGTTGTGGCGTGTGGCGACCGGCTGGAAGAGACTCTTATCATGCTGAAATCGGCAGTTCTGTTTAGCTACAGGAAGCTTAAGTTTCACATCTTTGCTGAGGATTCCCTGAAGCCTGAATTTGAGAAGAAGGTGTATCTGCTTCTTTCTCATTTTCAAAAACAATGCAATGGTTGTAGCCTGCAAATGTCTGATAACAAATACATGGATATCAACAAGTTAATTAGTGGATCGGATCTTTTTAAAAAAAAAAAAAATGTGAGGGCTTGTTACTAACCATGATCTGTACAGGCTTTTCTTTTTTTAAATTGTTTGATTATTTAATAGTATTGCAGAAACCTGTCTCTGTATCTGAATTTTAATCCTGTCCCCCATGTTTTTCAGTTAAGGGAATGGCCTTCCTCTTACACCAAGAAGTTTGAATACAGTGTCTACCCAATTGCTTTTTCAGTAGGAAATGCTCAGGAATGGAAAAAATTATTCAAACCTTGTGCTGCCCAGCGCCTCTTTCTTCCGGTAAGGCACCTGGATTTCTGAACATGAGCTTCAGGAAAAGGTCTGTTTTAAAGTAAGGAAGCTTTGCCAATGTGAGATTGAAAACATTTTTCCAGCTGAAATTTCCTTTCTAGGACATCTTTATCTGTTTCTTTATCCACTTAAAACACAATCTTACCATTCCTCCCCCTGGCAAAGAATGCATGCTTCTTGTTTGATGCCAGCTCCTTTTGCCTGTTGGGGTTCAGTGTCAATGTTGTTTGGATGTAGGTGCTGTGTGCTTTCTAAACGTCACACTCCTTTAAAGATGCAGTCCTTGGTCCCCTTTCTCTCATTCCCTATGTGCCCCATTAGAATGGAGGGTTTTTTTAGGACTCTTCTTCCCCTGCCCCCACTTATACATCCAGGAAGCATTTTCTCAGGTTTGTCCCTAGAGAATGCAATTCCATGGTTCAGAAAAATGTGATCCCATGTGAGACTCTCAAAATCGTGGCGTGTAAAAAGCCCCTATGTTAACTCCTCCAGCCTCTGCGCACATTGTATTGGCACCCTCTCCCTTAACTTGTACTGCCAACGATTCTATTTGTTTAGTAACATTTAGGGGGGAGGCTTTCAAAGGCATAAAGACCAGTTGGGTGCCCAATTCCCATGGAAAGTCAACTGCAGACACAAGGGAATGTTGGGGCTAGAGGCAGACAGCTGAGAGTCCCTGTGAAGTGTGTACACCAGCCATGGTAGTAGCTGGAGCACTGCATTCACACCCCGCCCACGGCACGTGTTCGGAGCCTGTAGTCTCATAGACACAGCCTTGACTGTGTAGGAGTCTTGTAGCTAAACACCAGGAAAACGGACCCCTAAGTGTGTTCATGGAACAGCATTTTCATTACCCAGTTTAAGAAGAGCCATGCTGTGAATGCGCCTGATCCTTCATGCCTTGTACCTCTGTAGTCATTTATGCCACCTGGATTGAGCCTTTTGGGGCAGAAAGACTGCTCTGTTGTTATTGACTGCTGATCTCCATCCATCCTTCTGGTGGTGGACAAAGGTTAGGTGTCCACGTTGATGCTTTTCGGTCTATCAGCAGCTTTCTGCCTCAAGGTGGTGGTGGTGGAACTTGCACACCCTACCAGGGACAGGTGGAGTTGGTTCTTGAGTGGCGTTGTTCTCTGAGAGGCTGCAGAAGGGAATATTGGACAAGTGCTTGTCAGCTCCAAGGGCTGACTTGTGTAGGGTGCCCTGAGGTTCTGTCCTGTCATTCCTCAGGTTTAAGGTGCTTGTGAGGAGATAGCGACATGATTGAGTGCTCTGCAGCCCCAGCTCGGTCTGTTTTCTCAGACCAAATCAGTTGGTTTTTTCCTAGTGTCTGACTGAGACTGGGGCATGGATGAGAGCTAGGTGGCTGAGGACCGTTGGGACTGAAACTAAGGTGATGATGAGCTGGGAAAAACAAGTGGTGGAAATAGCTGAGGTGGTAAGTGACCCTTTGGTTGAGGGGAGTACACCTACCTTTTGTTACTCAGGTTCATAGTCTGGAGTCTTACTGGATCCTGAGCTGTTTCTGGATGAACAGAGCTTTAGTTAAAGCTTTATTCATCTGTGCTTACCCACAGGGTTCCAGCCCCTGCTCATGAATACCCATAACGATGTCCACATTCATAACTTTGTCCCCTCAGGCTGAATCACTGCAGCGCATGCTATGTTTGCCCAGACCTAAAACTGGCTGAGACAATTCAGCTAGTGCAGAAGGCAAATGTTTCACTGAAGAATATTACACATGTGATGCGGAGGTTGCACTGGCTCCCAGTTTGTTTCATCATGGAGTCCAAGGTGTTTGCTTTACACCTAGAAAGCTCTTCATGGTTTGGCTCTTGACTATCTCAGTGACCAGCTCTCTCATCCTGTATAACCTCAACAGTTGAAATAAGGGACCATTTATACAAGCTGAGGATCTGGCCCATGATATCTCAGAGCTTTCAAGCTATCAGACCTTATGTTTGAGTGGTGGAAGAGCATTCGAAGTTGAAGGCCCTCAGCTTGAGAATTCCCCTCTGGAGTCCAACAGAGATCAACTTAGTTGGTCCTCAGGATGTGCCTCAAGACCCATCTATTCACTCAGGCTTCTTCTGAGAGGATGTCCTGAGCTGGGTGGGGGTGGCGTTCTTTTAATGCCCTTTCTACATTCCGTCTGTTTAAACCATTAAGTTGAGACATGTGTTAAATAAATTAGCCTACTGATGTTGACAGGCAAGTGCGCAAATAAATAAACCCTTCCCCCTTTCTTCAAATGACTCCATGTCCTACGGATCTCTGAGTGGAACTGCATAAAACTTTAACACTTTTTTTGGAGAGTCCCAAGGGAACAGCAGCTGAGAGCACAGGCTATGTACCCCCTAAGATACACACATTATCTTGGTTCAGCTAATGCATGTGCTAATCTCAGGTCAGAATTCGAGGCTTTGGTTTACTCTCCTTTGAACTTCCCTGCCAATTAAATATCTTTTCTTTATGGAATGCCAACAGACCTGTGAAACTGGAAAGAAATGTACAAGCGTGCGCTGAAGGGGCCTTGTACAAGGAAGTTTCAAAGTGAATTTCATAGCTAATAATGCTAAGGCCATGTGTTGTCCCTGTAACCCCAGATAATGAAGTGTTTCATTTTGAGTGGCAGACTAATGCTGACATTCCTGATTTTTGTAGAAGCTACCAGAGACTAAAATATTATTAAAATATTATGGAAGATCCACAGTAGATGCCAAGAGGGGGAAGTCACAGCGTCGGATTATAAACCTGTCATATCAGGCATAGGGTAGATGGACTGAACCTAAGGGTAATATGAAATCAAGTTTACATTGATGTTCTGGCTGCAGTCTATCTCTGTAAAACCAAATCAAGGGAGCTGCAGATCGGCTCTTAAAATGATTACAAATAACGGGCTTTTAAAACAAAATTACGTTGAGATATTAAGGGTACATTCATGTTACCAACCTGTTCAGGGTGGGTGGGTAGCAGGGTTAACCGTTCCATGGGAATAATAATATTTCTAGGAAGTTCCATCTGAGTATCTGCAATATCTGTGCAAGCATCAGTAGTCAGGTGGTGGCACCTTCACCCCCACTAGATACCATCTTACGCCACTGGTAGTCCCCTTGACTTCAGTGCACTCAGATGTGATGGTGATGGGCGGCAATATAAAACCCTGAGATGGGTGCTGTGCAGTTTGAGGAAAGCTTGCAAAATCTGGCCCTTTTTCATTGCCCTGGTGGCCCTGTGAGTGAGCTAAATGCTGTCCACATTTCACAGATATGGGGACGGAGCAGTTCCCTTAACCTTTTTCTCTTCCTCAGAGTCATGCAGGAAGCCTATGGCAAAGCCTTCTGCCTGCTTGTCCTGTGCCTGAACCACAAGCCCATTCTGCCTCCCCAAAGGAAAATTGCTGCCTTCCTGTCCAGTGATGCTCTCAGCCTGGTCAGTGGGTTGTTGGCTGCATTGCTTTTGAATACCTGCCCTGGTCATTTCACTGGGAACATCGGCAGTGGCTTGGGAAGGGGTGAGCTCCTTGGGGCAGGGACCATCGCTTGTTTTGTGTTTGTACGGCGCCTAACACAGTGGGCACCTTGTCCATGAAAAAGGCTCCAAACAAATAATAAATAACAAGCATCTACTTTTCCACTGAGCAAGAAGCTGCAGAGATGGAGCCCTGCTTGCGGGAGCAATTTACAGACATCTGGGTGAAAACACGCTGTTTGTCTTGGACGCACAGATGCTATATCCCATCTAGAGAGCTGGGGTGGCCCTTTCACATTGCTGCGTGGAATTACAAAAATACTATAAATATGCAGAGGGCTTAAGGAAGGTTTCAGTCTTAATAGTAACTAACATGTACGCAGAATCTTCCATCCCAGATTCTCCAAGCTCTTCACACATAGAAGCCTGTGAGGGAGATTAGTGTCATCTGCACTTTACAGGTAACTAACGTGAGTCTGTTGAAATGACTTGCCAAGGGCCACATAGTGGATCAGTGGCAGAACTGGGAATAGACCCCAGGACATTGTCCTGACTGGAGTTTTTGGCTCTCTTGTAACTGGAGGTAGCTCAGTTTAATTGGAAATCCGTTAACTAAGATGTTTGTGGGTGCTAACGTAGACATTCCCCAAACCTGTGAGCCTGGTCACGGGTCAGCCCTAGGATCTGGACAAAACGCAGGAGTATGGACCCGCTGGCCAGTTGGAACTTATCGGCAGCACTGTGTCTCTCGGTACCACTATAAGCTTACCTGCCAGCATGTTATTACTTGCCAGCCTTGCAAACATAGGGAGAATCCACAGAGACAGAAGTTGTGGAATCAAATTACAGATAATTGAGTATTTAACTGAAGTGTCAAGCTAAATATAGCAAGTTCTGAAGAGAACTCTCAAAAGATTTATTAGCAAAACGCTACACAGCTGTGAAAAACATGGAGATTATGCTCTTCTAAACTGTAAATGGATTGGAGGGGGAAGGAAGGGGACAAGGAAAAGCAGGACTCTCATATTCCCAGTTGGTCATGTTCAAAAGTCACACAACTAGGAGGAATTCTATCACATCCTGACTCAAAAATCTTGTCTGGAGACTTGTTTGTTAGTATCGAGTACATCTGCTATTGCCAAAGTGAGACATTAAAACTGGGTTTTTCAAAAGCAACTAAGTGAGTTAGGGCATCCAACTCCCTTTGGCTTTCAGTGAGAAGGGAGTGCCTGTCTCCCTTAGCTGCTTATGAAAATCTCACTCTAGCAGAGCTCAAAGATTATTGTAAATACTACATTTGACTTGATTGTGGGAAGCACCAGAGTTTAAAATGAATTCCCTCCCTGGTTTAACCCCATTGACTGCAGTGAAGTTACATGAGGGACTCATTTGGCCACATTATTCTAGAAGTTGCGTATGACTTGGCCTTGGGCACAGCAGTTTACCTCCAGGAAGAGATGTGGTCTAATCACACTGACCTCTGCAGCTTAAAGATGATTTTTCACACTTCCTATGTGAACAAGGAAAGTTCTAAAGGCTTCGAAGAAATAGCAGCACTCCCCTTCCAGCCTGCAAGGAAGGTTTTGAAGGAGGATAATGAGTTCATTTTGCAGATCCTTAAAACTCTCCTTTTCCATGACGCCTACAAAAACTTGATTGTGGTTGGGCCGCTGGTGTGATGAGACTACTGCCTATCATGTTGACCAGTATTGTCTCATTGTTTCCTTGTACCGTCTGTGTCCATCTGTTAGCTCTTGTCTTGTACTTAAGCCTAGTCTACACTTAAAAGTTAGGCCGACCGTTTCATCAGTCAGGGGTATGAAAAATCCAACCACCTGAGTGCCATAGCTATGCTGACATAACTTCCAGAATAGACGCAGGTAGGTTGACAGAAGAATGCCTCCATTGACATAGTTACTATTGCTCAGCGGGCGGGGGGGGGGGGGGGGGTGCTATTCATACATCCATGGAAAAACACCTTCCATTGTTGTAGGTTGCATCTTCACTACTGGGTTATGCCAGCATGACTGCGGTGCTATATCTGTGCCACTATACTCGTCGTACTATAGACAAGTTTCAGCTTGTAAGTCCTTCAGGGTAAGGACTGCCTTCTTGTTCTGTGTTTGTACCACACCTAGCACAGTGGGGTTCTGGGTCTTGACCAGGGTTTCTAAGTGCTATAGTAATTCTAATAATAAATAATAACTGACTCTACAGTGTGTTGAACATCCTGGGGCAGCTGACAAGGAAGCGTGTTTCAGCTTATCATCTTTTAGCTTCCTCCAGAGCTAGCAAGAGAAACTCGGGGCCCAGTTCTCTGAGTTTCACTGCCCCAGGAGTCCTGACTCCTAGTCTAACTCAAGCCTCTGCCTCTTTAATCTATAGTATTGGACTAATAATATTATATAGTTTTATTGCTATCTTCCTGTCACAGGTTGTGTTGTCTAGTAACTACAGGTGCCCGTTCAGAGGGAAAAACTGTTCTGTGCCACTTAGATATTGTGTGTGCCATTATCTACAGTAAGTTAGAGCCGAACGTATTATTCAATAACCAAGCGAGTAATTGTCTGCACGGAGCCCTCATCAGAGACATTATTTTCCACTTTAAAAAGTGCAGGCACCCCTTTGGCTTGTCAGGCTGGCCAGGGAGAATGTGCCTTTGTGATGTCAGAAATGGGGTGGAGCTGTCATTAAACTAGGCTAAATGTTGAGCCAAATGCTGAAGCCTTGAGCCAGGACAAAATCGCATTGAGGTTGGCATTCAAGGATTCGGTCCAGTGTTAACAGGAGCCTATTGAGCATGCTCAGAAGTGTTTTTTCTGTCACTTATCACTTCAATATTAATAACCCAGTTTATCCCATACATGGTTGCAAGGCGAGGGGACGGGGTACACCTCAGCGAGCACCGTTTACAAGTTCAACTGGTTTTTGAGTTACCTGAGTAAGGAGGGAAATGTGGATGCTTTGTCTTTGCAATTGGACTAGGGATTGTTTGGTTCCTTCCCCAACCTGACTGCAATCAATGGCTGAACAGAAGTGCCAAACAAACAAAACTTTTGGGTGAGACCCAGGCTAGTAAATGTCAGCCCTTCAGCTTTTTGGACCGTTTTAGCAAATAAAAATGGGGAGGCATGGGAAGGTTATAATTGTAACTGATTTTCAGCTTTAACTAATAGCGTTTGCTGTTTAGCAAACAGTATAATGAATATCTGCATGTCTCTGTGAAGGTCAAGGGAATTTTCACACCTTTAAAGTTCCGTATTATCTCCCTGCTAAAATTATCAATGAATGTGTAAGTTACTGGATTTCCACCAGGGGGCATATTGCAAGCAAGAATAAACTAGATATGATGGGCCTGATTCTACTCTCCCATAGAGCAGTTTTACACTGGTGTAACTGAATTAACTGCAGTATTGCCTGACTTACACTGTGGTAACTGAGATGAGACTATGGCCCACAACCTCCTTTTTAAGACTTCTTTTATTTGGCTGGCGGCATAGTTTCCTAAAAAGCAAGGAATTAAAAACACTTCAGTGCAGGTGATCCACAGTTAACGTTTTTAAATTAAACTGCACGGAAACATATGGCTTTAATTCATGTCAATAAGTGAATGTAATTTACTCAGTGAGGGGGCAGAGAGCTGTAACAGGAAAAGTAGCCATGGCCGGGAGCAAGGAAACACAAGATCAAAAGGAGAGGGGAAACTGTTCTGTTATCAACTACCTTACATTTTCTTTTCTGCTGCATTAGAACATGGTGCCCCCCCCCTGATTCATTGGGGAGGAGGAGGTCCATGCTAGCCAACCTGGGATCTAGGTTTGGCTGTCTGGCTAGACCAGAGTTGGGCAAACTACGGCCCGCGGGACCCTCCTGCCCAGCCCCTGAGCTCCTGGCTGGGGAGGCTGTCCCCGGCCCCTCCCTCGCAGCCTCCACTTGCTGCTGGCGCCATGCTCTGGGCGGCAGGGCTGTGAGCTCCTGGGGCAGCGCAGCTGCAGAGCCCGGCCTGACCCGGTGCTCTGCGCTGCGTGGCGGCGGCGTGGCCCGGCTCCAGACAGGCGGCGCGGCTGTAGGGCCGCCAGCCACCGGTGCTCCAGGCAGTGCGGTAAGGGGGCATGGAGCGGGGGGGTTGGATAGAGGGCAGGGGAGTTCAGGGTGGTGGTCAAAGGGCAGGGGTGTGGATAGGGGTCGGGGCGGGAACAGGGAGTTGAATTGGGGCAGGGGTCCGGGGGGGGGCAGTCAGGAATGAGGGGGGGTTGGATGGGGCCGTCAGGGGGCAGGGAGAAGGGGTGGTTAGATGGGGCAGTCAGGAATGGGAGGAGGGGTTGGATGGGGCAGTTGGGGCGGGGGCCTGGGGGCGGTCAGGGGTTGGGGGTGTGTGAATGGGGCAGGGGTCCCGGGGGGGGTCATCAGGGAACAGGGGGGGTTGGATGAGGCAGGGGTCCCCAGGGGATGGGGAGGTGCTAGGAGGTGGGGGGCCAGGACATTACCCCCTCCCCTAACTGGCCCTCCATACAATTTCCAAAACCCGATGCGGCCCTCAGGCCAAAAAGTTTGCCCTCCCTTGGGCTAGACCATGGAAGGGTCTCATGCCAAGAGACCCTGGTGCATATTGTGGCTATATATATATATTGTGTGTGTGTGTATTTTTAGTTGTAAAATGTTGGGTTTTTTTTAAAATTACTTTCCAAAACATTTGCCATATCAATGCCTAAATTACATACCCACATTCTGCAGTAATCGCACAACTTCCTAGTCTTTGGAAAAGCTAGCAACACTATACTAGTACAGAAGGTAGGTGTTTTGTTAGTAAAATCCATATGAAATAAAACTTGTGAGTTAGATCTCAGGTTGTTATGACACTAAGCTGATTATTGTTTTGTGTAAAGAATAGCCCTTGATTTTTGCACTTTGCTCTAGCTATTTTGCAATGCTGGTTGCTTTTTTTTTTTTTTTTTCTTTTTTAAATCTACCTACTGTTTGTGACTCCCACAACAGTTGGTGATGTCAGTTGATAACTCTGTCGTTTGCATGAATGCATAATTTAAAATACAAGTAATTCCTGAGCAGTAATCGATTTCTTTTTTCTGTCTGGTCTCCTTTTCCATCTTCCCTCGTTTCCCCACCCCGCAACCTCCAAAGGTGATTTTAAAGGATGTGGATTCTCTTCTCTACGTGGACACTGACGTTCTCTTCCTGAGGCCCATTGATGACATTTGGAGCTTTCTGAAAGAGTTCAACTCCACACAGTTGGCTGCTATGGCCCCAGAGCACGAAATACCAAAGATTGGTTGGTATAGTCGATTTGCTCGCCACCCTTACTATGGAACAACTGGAGTCAATTCCGGAGTCATGCTGATGAATTTAACCCGGATAAGAAACACACCGTTCAAGGTGAAACACTGCTGTAGAAATTTACTTTCTTTTTTTAAAGTAAACTTTTAGGGATACATGTGCTTGCATAAAACAACTTGTACCGTATAGAATTGAAAAAGGATGCTGGACAAACTGTCAGAACCAAGCTTTTAGAAAAACTAGTAGAAAGATTTCCTGATATTTTAAAAAAACAAAAACAAAAGCAAAAAAAACAGTGAGTGATTATATTTAACAAATAAACATTTCCCCAAAAGCCAGAGTTTTAAAACCCTAAAAGTGCAACAGCCTAAAAGCAAAAGGAAAGCTGATGTCATTTGTTGCCCTGCTCTCCCATCTGAGATGCATGGAAAAAGAAACCCAAGGATCGGTAGTACTGAGTATTCTGGACTTTAAAAAATACCTCTCACTGGTAATATACAAGGTGGTATGAATAACATAGGGAATAATCTGTTTTATTTATATTGAATGAGGCTTGCTCTTGAGCTCCCTGACACCCCTGCAAATTACGAGTGGATGTCAATGGAGATACTGGTGGAAATGAAGAGAATGATTTTCAAATTGGCTTTGTCCTTTCCATGTCAAAGGGCCTTGGTTGTGGAACCTTTTATTTACCTTGGTGAGCACTTGTTCCCATAACTACTCTTGTGAGTAAGTGCCCAGCAATGTGAAGAAATGTTCCACGACCTTGCCTAAAGGATCTGGTCCTGATACCCTTACCCAGGCTAGATTGAGCCTTTCAGGTCAGCCCTGAGTAAGGATCAGTGCATAGCTATGTCACCTTAGGGGCAGCCCCAGGAAGGAATTGTGCCTCCAAAGTTATGATCCCTCCTCTTCCCTGAAGTAAAAGTTACCATAGCCCTTGGGAAGGTGCAGCATACATCCCCCAACTTGCACCTGGTCCCTACTTTGGCCAGTGAGTAGGAAGGCAGGAGCTAATGCTGTACCCACTCCTGCTCTTCTTCACCAGCTCCCTGGCCAATTGCTCTCAATGGCAAGTATCTGGAGAGCAGGGGCTGCGCACCACGCCAGTCTGAGACCCAAGTGGTCCTGCTTCCCTGTTCAGCTGAGTAAGACAAGAGCACAGCCCACCCTTCAGTGGGTCCTGCCACTCCACTCCTAGCCAGGCCTAACACTTCCTCACAGTGCTCCTCCTCTCCTCTGGGTACAGGAGGGTTTGGGAGAGTTCTGCATATGTGGGCATGGGCATTAAGCTATGACTTTATTACCCTGTTGTTTGGTAAAACATTAACCCGCTTCCTCTGATTGCTTTCTGCCTTGTAGAACAGCATGATACCAACAGGCTTGATGTGGGAGGAAATGTTGTACCCATTATACCAAAAGTACAAAAATTACATTACATGGGGAGACCAGGACTTGCTAAATATTATTTTTTACTTTAACCCAGGTATGTAATGATTCCTATTAGTCTCATGCTTGTCTGTAACAAGAGAATGGCTAGACCTTGTATAATCCAAAAATGGGATTGTTATGATTGAAAAATATACATGAGATTGAATTCTGGCCTGAAATGAATAAACCTGAGGTCCTTAGACTGCAATGGGATTTATACCCACTGGGACTACTATGGGCATAAGTGTTGTTGGGACTGGGGCCTACTTCCAGTGCAGATGCCCAACTATATTCTCTAAACTGGAAAGTTTAGAAGAGTTTTCTAGGCATGGTACTAACTGCAGGCTGAATCCTGGGCTGAAGTTAGTCAGGCATGTACTTACTTGCTTTGCTGCATTAGAGCCCAGCTAAGCAACATGTTTGTCTTCATATGCACGGATATTTGTCTGAACCTGAAATTACTCATCTTTGTCCAAATCCATGTCTATTTTCTGACATTTGGCTCAACCCCAATATTTATTAAAGGGGTGACAATGTCAAAGCCAACAGATGCAACACTGACTCTGCTCTGAAAAAAATATTTTAAAACTCCTTTCCCCCCCCCCTTGAAAAATCTCTCCCCTTCCTAAACCTGTTCTATAAAGCCAGACCTTCCAATGAGACAACGTTCCAGCTCTTCAGCTGAGTTACCCATCCCGGTGACCTCAGGATGTTTGGATCGTTTGCACTCCCAGCTGTGTTGCGTTTTCTGCTCTCCCTTTTTCCTGCCTGCTCTGGGCCTGTGAACAGGAAGGATATGAAAATCCTACAAGAACTTTTGTTGTCAGAGAGCATGTTAGATACCACACCTGCCCGAGAGAGTGGATAAGAGCAAGCAGAGGGGCAGTGTGACCTACAAATGTGGGCCATGAACACAAGTACGTTTTTTTTGGTTTGGATCTGACTTATGCCCACCAGCTTTGTACAGGGTCTTTTGAAACAACTTGCTCTATTTTTGGCTTTTCACATAGTTCCTCCTGAATTCAGGTCATAGTCACATAGGTGTATGTTTTCAAGCGCCTAGTGATTTTGGGTGCCTCAATTTTAAAGGGGTCTCATTTTCAGAAAGTGCTAAGCACCCATCTGTGAAAATCAGGCCCCTTGAAAGTGCCTCAAGTTGGACTCATAGAATCATAGAATATCAGGGTTGGAAGGGACCTCAGGAGGTCATCTAGTCCAACCCCCTGCTCAAAGCAAGACCAATCCCCAACTAAATCATCCCAGCCAGGGCTTTGTCAAGCCTGACCTTAAAAATATGCACCACCTCCCTAGGTAACGCATTCCAGTGTTTGACTACCCTCCTAGTGAAAAAGTTTTTCCTAATATCCAACCTAAACCTCCCCCACTGCAACTTGAGACCATTACTCATTGTTCCGTCATCAGCTACCACTGAGAACAGTCTAGATCCATTCTCTTTGGAACCCCCCTTCAGGTAGTTGAAAGACTCAGACTTTTCCGAAATCACTTCCACTTTTGAAAACTTAGTCCGAAGTTCTGTGGTACGGCCCCTGCTTGCTCGGAAAAGTTGGGACCTTTGTCCGGGACCTGTACCATCATGCTGATATGCCAGTATCCACTCTGATCTGCTTTCGCTTTCCCCCTCTGCCCTAGCATGATCTTGAGCACAGCATAAACATGGAGGTACCATTATTCTGTTCCTTTTTGCCTCTCTGTTCAAATCTTCAGTCAAGTGACAAGGGCTATAATAAAATCCAGACAAAAATCAAAAAATTGAGGCAGGAGAAATGCAAAGCAATAAAACAACTGTTACAACAACAGCTATTTAATGCAGACAGATGCCCTAAGTTAGTCTTTTGGTTGCAACAAGTAATAGCCTCATAATCCTAGGAAAATGCTAATGTGGCGCAGTCCAAAAACTGTGTACTCCTCATTATTAAAGGTTATAATAGTTTCCAAAAAGAGGCAGACATCCCAAGATACCTGGGCAATATGGCCTTGTGCTGCAGTACCTGGGGAAGGAAAGAAGACGACGCATCTACTTCAAATTCACGATGATCATTTAAAGTGGGAGAGAAAAATGAGAAACCACTTGAATTCTGAGACTAGCAAACTCCTGATTAGCACCACATGTGAATATCCTTCTTCATTCCATAGGCCTTGTCTTTTCCTCACATCTGATAAATACTCTCCTAGGAACTATTTAGTATCTCAAGTATTTTCAGAACAAACAACAAAACTTTCCTTCCCATGCCAGTTTAGAAAGCCCTATTGTAAAGAGCTATCAATTCAAAATCTCAGACATTCGAGAAGGACAATTAATTTATCTACGCCAGCCCACTGCAGCTTTTCCAATGAATTAGCCAGGCATATACCTCGCAATTTTACCTGGGAAAGTATAACCTCTGTCCCCTGAAATAACCCAGCCATGCAAAAGAAACAGTCAGAATCCAGTCAGATAGTCCTTGCAGCACAAAATCCCCAAGGCATCCCTGATATTAATAGACTTGAAGGAGTGACTAGAATCAGCACCTCATTGTGACAGCAAAAGTTGAGCGCTAGCATAGTTGAGTGGTGGAGGAGAGGAGAATGGGCGAGCACCACATGTGAAAACTGATAAGCGACATGGTGCCCTTGTTCAGAATTAAGGGCCTGGGGAGGAGCTGTGCTTGTGCAAACGCTGAGTGCTGGCATCTTGCTGATAGAGGCCTCGATCTACAGCTCATTGGAGCCAATTGGAGCTCCTATTGACATTCATTGGATTTGGATCAGGCCCGTGCAGCTTCCCCTTCCACTGATTCTAGCACTGAGCGTTTGGCTGGAGCGAAGCATGAGAAATGTCAGGCTGACCAGAACGAGCTCGGAAAAGGGCCGTTGCGACCACCTCCTTCATTGGGTGTGGTGAAGGGGAAAAGCGCTCCTGCTTTTCCCTCTGCCCTCTTAGGAACTCACCTGAGGACCAGTCACAGCTGTACTGGGCAGGATGAGTGGAGCCCCAGGAAAGGCCAAATGAAGTATTCAGTCTTTGGTGCTTACGGTACAGCCGTGATTCTGCCGTCATGGAGCGGGGACCAGTACAGCTCTACTCCCTGGCTGGGAGATGACCCACAGGACTTGTCATGATTTATCGTAGCGTGCTGCAGATGCTGGGAATGTACAGAGTAAATTAAGAGAAGAGGAATAGCAGGAGGAGCCCGTTCATAAGGCACTTTGCAAGTAATTAATTTGCTTTTGGAATTAATCTGGAACTGTAGACGTAACAGACAGAAGGGCTTTGAAACAGGGATTGTATTTCAGTGCGTGTATGGTGGCTTTGTATGTTAGTGACCAACAGATTCCCATGGCAGCATTTGTGAATAAATTATCTCATCGCATGCTCTGGGAATCCATTGTACAACAAATTGTCATCCTTTGGCTTGGCATGTCAACAGCCTAAATGAGAGTTTCAGTGGTAAGCATGGATATTGTTTAAAAGCTTTGTCCCACTGGCTCTAATAGAAGTCAAAATTTAGCCAACCACTACAGATCTGATGCAGGTGATGGTGACTTGCGCTGCCTCCCTCTCATTCCATGGCCTTGCAATTACACAGACACAACTAGAGAGGATGCTGGACGAGGGAGCTACACATTGTGTAGGATCTAGGCCTTGTTCTGTTATTTGTAGCTCTGAAAAGCACCCTTCCTCCCCCCCGCCTTTTTTTTTTTCTGTCTCCAGTTTCTCTTTCCTCCCAGTTTTGCTATGGGCCAAGTCTCCTATTGTAACAATCCCCAACCCAACAGTGATGGGACTTACACACAGTCATCCCCTGAAGAAAACCCGGTTAGAATTCTAGGCTGTTACCCTGAGTCACTACCAACAAAATGACCGAAAATCTTCCTGACTGACAACCCCACCACTTTCTTAGCAATGTGATTAACTTGCGGTAATTGTTTAGTTCAACGTCTCTCTCTTTCTCTCTCTCATTGATATTGCCAGAGAGTCTCTATGTGTTTCCCTGTCAGTGGAATTACCGGCCCGATCACTGTATGTATGGGAGTAACTGTAAAGGTGCAGAAGAGGAAGGCATATCTGTTCTTCATGGTAATAGAGGCGTCTACCATGATGACAAGCAGCCTACTTTTAAGGCACTATATGAAGTGATACGTGATGTAAGTGTTCTCCTCTTTGGTATTTTTTTTATTTGATACAAAGCAGTGCAAGATGTTATGGCAGAGCGCTCAATGGCCTGAATAGCCCAAGTCTGAGGAAAAGGGTACTGTGTGTATACACAGTGTTCACAAAACACTCTGTGTTGGACTCTTCCACCTCACAGTGTGTGTGTACAAGGGATGGTTGAAACCATCCTCCTCAATGTTAAAACAAACTTCAAATCCTAAGGCCTGGTAAACTTCTTCTGTAGTGTATTAATGGAAACAGGGATTTGAATGAACTCGATCTTACATCCTTAACTACGGTGTTATAACTGTGACTGCACAACTGTTATATGGAGCCTGATCCTGACAGGGCTGAGGACCCTCAAATACTCTTCACCTCCCAGGGGAGTGCAGGGCGCTCAGCACCTTGTAGAATTGGTCCCATATTTCCATTTTGTGGGATGGAATTCTAACTTCAGACTCTGTGCTGGTTTTTTTGTTAAGTGTTTCAGGGGTTCCTTTTGTTTCTTCTTGAGATGCTGGATTTAGTTCTCTCCCTTTTTTTGTTAATAGAATCTGTGTATAAGTAGCATAAGCCCAGCAAAATATCTTCAGTTACTCTGCCTTTGTGCTACTTAGCAGACTGCCTACATGTGTCATGGTCTCATGTAGCGACAGGTCTGCATACAGGATAACAGCCTGCTACTGCAGCCAATTAATGAAGTTACTTATAGCTCAAGTGGCATAGGCTTGTGCTTTCAGGGCTGAAGTCCCTGGTTTAGTCTCAGCTGCTGACTCCAGTTGGGGATCTTTACAACAGCCTATCCTTCCACCTCTGAGTAAAGGAGCTGTTTATACATAGTGTTCTGTAGTACCTCAAGGATTGGCATAGAGCCGCCTCAGACACCACTGTGAAAGAAAATCTCTATCAGTGAGCATAAGTGTAAACTCCAAGAACATGCCTGGCTCCAACTGAATTACACTTACCCCCTAGCCTGGGCTTTAAACATGCGGTTTCGGTGAAGCTGGCTGTGCCAGACAACGTGGCTCGGCAGAGCTTTCTGAAAGTCAGTAGTCTTAAATGGATTGACAAGTGGTTTCAATACATTGGAAGTCAGTGGCGACTCAGGAGCAAGCCAGTGCCAATTTCTATAGGGCCTATTCCTGCTCCTTTTTATGGGTTGAATAGTGGCCCTGTGGCAGTTGAGGACATTCAGCTCCCTGTGAATATCTATGTTACATCTCGCAACTAAAAGTGGTTTTAAACTTTTCAAATGTCATTTATAGCTACTGAAAATAATCATTTTTCTTCTCTGCTCTCTTCCCGCTTCAGTTTCCCTTTGAAGACAATCTCTTCCAGTCCTTGTACTACCCACTTCAGTCTAAGTTTCTGGATACTGTACACACTTTATGTGGGCGAATTCCACAAGTTTTTCTGAAGCAGATTGAAAAAACGATGAAGAAGGTTTATGAAAATCGTGTCATTGTTCATGTGGGAGCCAACTACAGATACTAAACATAGCTATACTTTATATGGTAATTTTTTCATCCTTGTAGCCAAATCATTTGAGGCAGATAAATTAAAGGAGCACCGTCAGTTTAAAATTCATGTTGTTAACAAAAATTGTCTAAATTGGAACAATTCACCAATGATCATGGTGGATTCTCCATTACTGACCACTTTTAAATCAAGATTGGGTGTTTTTCTGAAAGATCTGCTCTAGGAATTATTTTGGAGAAGTTCTATGGCCTGTGTAATACAGGAGGTCTGACAAGATTTCCAGTTTTCCCTTCTGGCCTTGAAATTCATGAATTTCCCTGTTTTATTAATAACTCCTTAAATGATTAAAATGGAATTTTAAAATCCATTCAGACTGCCACTTCTTATGCTCTTTGTTCACTTCCTGCATTTCTCTCCCCTTGAACAAGGAGAATCAATGGTTTGACCGTCCCTAGAATGAGTTTGTTTTTAGTTCTGTCATGTTTAAGTTTAAACACTTCAGGGGAATGTTTGTGTGTTTAAAAACAACTATTTTAATTGGAGGTGTTATTCAGTTGTGGAAACATCTGTATTATATTTTATAAAAAAATTTTTTTTTTCATCCCACAAGATTTAAATTTGGGTCTAGATTTAAATTGACAGCATCACTGACTTAAAAATAGATGCTCAAACCATCATGACAGGCTTAGTTAAACATGACTGTATTAAAGGGAAACCATCTGCTTAGAAATCACTGAAGTGTGTGTGGGGGGGAGGGGATGGTCTGTTTGTTTACTTTGTGTATTTGACAGCATTTTGTGTCTAGTGAGTATCATTGTTCCCTGGCCTACTTTTCCTGTTTTGTGTGGGCCTTTCACACCGCAACAGGAGGGAGACCCATTAAAGCCACTAAGAAGAACATATGCACAAATATTGGGAGAGGGATGTAGAGATAAGTACAGGACTCGAAACTAGTGTTAACTCACTTGCTGAAAGTACCTAGATTTCAAGTGTCTGTTTTAAATTCCCCTCTCTGTGGGAACATGGCTTTGGTCTTTTTTTTTCTTCCCATTTTAAATACATTACCTTTTTTGTGGTTTTAATTGTGTTAAAAACAGGCCAAGAACACTGTGAATGAACTGTAGGAAAACATGTACTATTGAACTGTTTTCTCCATTAACCTTCTTTAATTACTACTTACTGCTTGGGAATAATTCCGTACCACTGAAAACCTTTCTTCCAGCACAGCGTTACTGAGAGACAGAGATTGTTGTCTCTGACTGCTTTTTCCAATATGCCAAAAATCCACTTGGCCTTCGACATTAAAAAGAAAAAAATCTCCACATCTCTGCTTGGCACTTTCATCCCTTGAAGTTCAGCATCTGTGCCAGGATTTTAACTAATAGTCTCAAAGTGAAATGGGATACAAGATAGCTTTGATGTTTGTTTTAGTTAAAAATATTTAATTTAGGTTAGATTTCAAAAGCATGTTCATGTTGTAAGTAGTTAGACTGAAGGTTACAGACAGTGTTACACAGCTCATTAAAACTTGCAGTAGTTAAAAGATGCTCAGCAGAAGCTGTAGGAAACCTGAAACTTAGGAAATTTTAAAAGACACTTTGTAAGTGAAAATCTTGAGGGATGTATACCGTTGAAAGGTTATATTGTTCAGCATGTGGAAGGCAACTGAATAGACTGGCTTACCTTACCTGTTCAGCAGAAAAATCAGCCATCACTTGAAACTATCTTTTATGTCTAGTATGCAAGGTGTTGAGGGGAAACTATTCTGTAATGAAAAAGTTGCTTTCGACTGCATTATAATATGCATGTAATCCCAGTGGCTTTCCAGGCATACATACTTACCTTGCATGGCTGGTGTGTGCTAGGGGCATGTCACTGTCATTAGAGTCTAGAACAGGGGCGGGCAAACTTTTTGGCCTGAGGGCCGCATCGGGTTTCTGCAATTGTATGGAGGGCCGGTTAGGGGAGGCTGTGCCTCCCCAAACAGTTAGGTGTGACATGGCCCCTGACCCCCCCCTTCTCGCCCCCTCACGGCCCCCCCAGGACTCCTGCCCCATTCAACTGCCCCGTTCCCTGACGGCTCCCCGGGACCCTTGCCCCATCCACACACCCCCCCCCCCCCAGCTCTCTGTCTCCCTGACCACCCCCGGACCCCCCGCCGCCCCATCCAACCTCTCCTCCTCTCATCCTGACTGCCCCCCCCCCGGGACCCCTACCCCATCCAACCACCTGTTCTCCCTGACCACCCCTTCTCCCTGTCCCTTGACTGAGGTTTTCTGGCCGCTAAGGCTGTCAAACAGGCAGGCTGTACGCAGCGGTAAGTGCCTGTGGAAACCTTTTACAAATGAATGGGGTGTGAAAACATATGTGACACCTCCGTAGGCACACTGAGAGAATGGCATGGCATGACAGAGAGCAGCACTAGGGAAGCATCCGAGTAGAGTGAAATGGAAGAGCCCAGAATACCAAACTTGAAGTCCTGGCCCCACTAAAGTCAATGATTTCACCCCAGGGCTGGACTAGTCTTCAGAAGAGACACAACAGACAAAAGATCAGTTCTTTGACACAAGGCCTAATAGGACCCTCAGCCCCCTTCCCCCCCACGCACACAATTTGCTCGTTTCTGGCTCTCATCCTCACATTATCTTATGCTCTTACTGTGTAAGAGATCAAAGTACCTTAACTAGCAATGGACAGAAGCAATCATTCTGACCAGTCTTACAGCTGTCCCTCTTAACGGGGACCAGAAAGGCATTTAAACCCATATAGTGCAGGCTTGAAATATTTAGCATTTTTCTTCAAGCCCCAACTCCTAGAGTCAGATGATTTCTTCAGAATCTCAGTTTTCATTTAAAAAGAAGCGTAAGTTTTTGCCTCTTGTGGTTGTGGAGAAGAGCTTGAAAATGTGACCCGAGTGCACCCTAGCTACTTAAAAGCTAGAAAACAAATAAAAAGAACCCAAAGTGCATTATTTTAAAAGCTTCATGATATTTAAAATACTCCCATGCTGTCTGGGAGCTTGATTCATGATTTTTAAACATTTTGGGGTTGGCAGTCGTGGACACTCAAAAAAAAATAGCTTGATTTCCTAAATCAGAATAAAGCAGACTGTCTGTAGGTCATGTTTGGTTAGATTAGACATCCTCAGAGTATTTCTAAATTGCTCATCTCTGTGGTATCTACAAGCCACAGAAGTTTGTAGAGAAAAAGTTGCCTTGCCCAGAACTTGGAACTCTGCATTTTAGAACAATGCCTCTTATATACAGCAGCAGAGTTGCTAACTCACAGACGCTTAGTAGGTTATGATTCAGTCCATTATGATTCAGGCGAACTTGGAACCATGGGAACATATTTGTAATGAAGGAATCCAATAAGATACTATAGTTAATAACAGAAAAAAAGCATTATTACTTATAAAGTTATTGGAGATTAAAACAGTGTTTACAGGAGGTGCTATATTTTTATAAAGAACAATATTATGTTAACTGTTGTATAAGGTATATGAAGTATACATTTTAACGTGAAAATAGCTTTCAGTGTCATGTGAAGGCAATTATGCAGGAAAAAGTACCTTTTTTGATATTTTTCTGAAAAAATTGAGCTGTAATTTGAAAATTCCAAAGCCTTTTTTTTTAAAGTTACATAATTTTGTTTTCTCATGCTGACTAGAATTATTAATTTATATTTTACTACTGCTTCCAAAAAACATTTATCTTAATTTCAACAGCAGTTGGTTTTAATATTAAGCTTACTTTAATCACACTCCATACGCATCGCTAATTACTTGTAATTTAGCCTCATTTATTTTAATAATGGAACTATGTAAATACTTATGTAGGATTTATATATTTTTTCCTCCCCTCATATGTACTATTATTGTATTGGTAACTAAAAAAAAAAAAAACCAACAAAACAGAATACCATTTTTCATGTACCACACTAAGCAATGACACCATAACGTATTAGCACTAAAAGAGGGAACACCAAAATATTTATCTGTAGATGAATACAAATTCATTCTTTGGCACATTCAGAGTGTTTGTAACCCAGATTTCACGAAGAAAAATTCATCTGCTGTATTCAGAACAGTGTGGTATCGTACAGCCTAAAGAACTGTGCACTAATTATTTGAACACAGGCTGTGATCCTGCAAAAACTTACGCATGTGCTTAAACTTTTCACACTGTGAGTAGCCCCATTGCAGTCAGTGGAACTACTCGGAGTGTATAAAAAGAAGCATGTGCCTAAGTGTTGGCATGATCTGGGCTATAATGCACATTTCCAGGTTTTAAATTTGCTGTGCTGTACTTGAACTTGCTAAAGTTATACAAATAAGGGCCTGACACTGAGCGGTGCTGAGCACCTCCTTTCAGCCCTAAGCCTTTTAAGGAAGTGTCAGAATAAAAATACACATTATACAGTGAGGAACTGCCAGTGGGGGAGGCATTTGTTTGCACCATTTTATAATGTGAGGGATTTTTGGCTATTTGGCTGCACCTGGCAAAGTGAGCTAGATAGCTTTGCTATAGTTTCTGTTCTTTACAGGTGGAAACTGGAAACCATTTTTGGTGTGTGTGTGCACGTGTGTATGTGTGTAAATAATTATGATCAATTTCTGTATCATTTAAATGCTTGTATATTTTTATCTGACAAGTGCACCAATTGTTTATAGCTCCCAAGGAGGCATCGCAGTGCATTTCTATGTTTAAGATTCTTTGGCTTACAGTATAAATAAATGAACTTTTAAGCAAACTCCACATTTTCATGTCTTTTTGTTTTTGTTTGTTTTTTTGTTTAAATCAGAACAAATTAAAAGGATCACAGTAATAGGTCTCGTTACTTTAAGGACCATATTTTGCCCTACCACCTACCTGCACAACACAATGGAGGTTTGGCAGTAGCTGCGTATTACAGTGTAGTTATGCAGTTCTGTATTAGGCTGTTCTTAATATGTTGATTATTTACTATAAATGATCAATTTCTGTTAACTTATTTTCAACAATAAAGTTATAGTTTGAAGTACAAAACCTTATTCTTCCATAACATGCTTTAAGACTAAAACATAAGATTTTGTTGGTTTTTCAAATTACATTTTGTGGATTTTTTTTTTTTAAATGTAGCAATGAAGACTAAACCCTAAATGTTCCAGGTCAAACTGCCCTCCTAATACATCTGTGTAGTCCCATTGGACCAAATACACCTGCAGAGTTGCACCCTCTTTCACCAACAAGGAATTTGGCCCACTGACCTCAAGGGATTGTATGTGCATAACTGAGGGCACATTGGGCACTTAATCTTTATTATGTCTTCTCCCCCCACCCCCCTCTTGTTTATTTCAATCATATTCTTTTTCTTAGGGAGCTAGCTTGTATAAAATTGACATCAGACCTCAATGAGCTTTCTTTTTAATACATTTCTGCCTTGTAAATTCTTTGTTATGCTGTGTGTCTTTAAAGGTCTTATCTGTTCAAGATAAATGGCATGTGCAGGGATTTGGCCTAAAGGGAAATTTGTCCTCTGCTGGTGCTCATTGAATTTAACAAAGAAAATTGGACCTGTTCCAGCAAGATAATAAGTAAATATGGCTACTGAAAGGGACTAAATATATGCATTTCCTTCATAATAACAAGAGACCCTGTTCCTTTCTCACTTGACTTAGCGGTGTGACAGAAGATGTGTATTCACTGTAAAACAAGTTCTTAGTTTCATATTAAGTAAAATAGTAGAGATCTTCAGTTGTACATGTACTTGCAGGATTCAGTATAATTTCTTTTCCTTTCCCTACTGATTCTGCATTACCCTGTGTTGTCTTTCCTTGTAGTATCTGCCTTCTTATGAACTCAATCTCTGTACCATCACTACTGGGTTTGAATTGGTTTCCCTGATACTTCTCTGCAGGACAGAAGATTACCAATCTTTCTGCAACCAGACCAGTATCTGTATGGTGAGGTCTCCTTTTTGGAAGGAGATAAAGGCAATCAGATACTGTTCTATGGCATTGCTCATTTGTATTGAACGTTGGGCCTACTCCTCCTTTTAAAGTCAAGGACAGAACTCCTAATGACTGTAGTGAGAGCAGGATTGGGCCAATTATGTCATAAAGTGGTTCTCTGTTGACTGCTAATGGTTGAAGAGTGCTTTCCGGCCGTCCACAGGTATAAACCAAGCCATAGGGAATTGAGGTGTCGAGAGCGTGGATGGATCCATTAGAAGGTTGTAAAGGAACAATGTGTTCCACCGAATGGAAAGACTGGAGAAAGGCTCGTGTTAGTTTGATTAGCAATCTCCAGCACTTTGCTTTCAAATGTGAATATGGGTATTTTTTGTCATGGGAAGAGCTAGTCAGAACAAAAGATTTTTTTCATTGAAGTATGCTGTCTTATCAAAGCTGAAAGTTTTGCAGAGAACAGTTGTTCTCAAACTACAAGTCAGGAACCCAAAGTGGGTCACAACCCCATTTTAATGGGGTCACCAGGGCTGGTGTTAGACTTGCTGGGGCCCAGAGCCGAAGCCTGAGCCTGAGGGTAATGGAGATTAGATTACAGGCCCCCTCACCTGAGGCTGAAGGCTTTGGCTTTGCTATTGCCACTTCCCCCCGGGGTGGTGGGGCTTGGGATTCCCCCCCCCCCCCCGCCTGAGGCATCAGGGCTGGGGTGGACTCAGGCTTCAGTCCCTCCTCCTGGGGTCGTGTAAATTTTTGTTGTCAGAAGAGAGTGGCAGTGCACTGAAGTTTGAGAGCCGCTGGCAGAGGTGCATCAGTTCTGATTACATTTTGAATGGGAAGGGTTTTGAGGTCCAGGGTGGGCTCTCCAGAAAGAGTGAGACTAAATGAGAACCTGACCTGTCCATTCCAAAAACAGATGTTTTGACACGGTTCTATTTTGATGCAATTGTGTTTTACAGAAACACTTAAGGTTTGTTTTCATTCCAGTATGGAACAAAACCAAACCTTGAAAGTGCCGCAAAATGGAATTATCGTTCTTGAGCCAGCTCTAGTCTTGGGCACTTGGACCAACAAAGCCAGATCTGTAGCTTTAATTCCATCTGAGCAATATCTAGCTGTACATCATATTGTCTGTGTAGTTGCGCTCGCTTTCCCTTAGAGGGTG